TCATATCCCTTCCAACTCGTTAGGCGGTGTAGATATTTAATTCTTTTGACAGGTAAAAAGAAATTCATTAGAAAACTGGCTCAGTAGATCAGCTTTAACAATATGCTGAATTACACGTTGGCCACCAGTAAGATAAACCCATTGCCAAATGGGTGGGCGACGTGATTTGAATTTGTTGGTCAAATCAATACGCGCTATGCTTTGTTGGGCGTTCGATAACGGCTTTATATCACGTGGTCTCAGCTGCATTTCAAATTGAGCCATCACTTTCCAAACGAAATCGTGGGAAAAAAATGGCTAATCAGCCCGGACTATCATCCAGATTGGATTTGTGCAACTCTTCTCTGCTGCGATCAAATACAACCATCATCTTACTCTGTTATGGCTAGTTTTCTCCGTCTCAGTTTATGTCTTGATGAAGAAATTTCAATGAATATGCAAAAAATTGGACTTATGTTCACATAGAAGCGCTTCCACAAGATATCAACTGAGCCAGCAGATTCATGCGCCTCTCGTTTTAGCCGCTTCTCGGCTTTAATTATATGCCAAAATCTTTTGGAAGTTTTATCCGGTTTGGGCGTGGTGACATCACAGGACGCTTATTCAAGGAGCCGCACATCTCAAGGTCAACTTTCGAAGATCAACTTGTGTCTTTCTTGGATCATGTTTTCAGTTCTTCCAGTATTGGAGATAATGCGTGAGTAGTTTGTAGCCTAATAATTTAGCAATTTACTAAAGTTAGAATGTTTTCAATAATTTGCTTATTTACTGTGCACTGAATGAAAAGAGAATAGAAATTTAGAATGCGTGTGATCAACCTTATAGAAACTCTCGTGGGACACGAATCATCTATTAAAAAGAATGAACACCCATTAAACTTTGCCCAAAATATTTTCTAAATCAGAGCAGTAACTTTCGAACTACCGTAAATTTTATAGCGACCCTCAAGGTCGCGCACATTCAAATGGTGATAGAAATGAACTAAGAACTTAGATGTTGGAGACAAAGTCAGGAATAAATACATTGTACCCATAACCATCTACATATAAGTATGCTATTGCAAGCTGAAGTGGGTTTTCAAAATGAGGGTGATGTTGCACGAGTTTGGTCAACACCTGTATAACAATAGTAACAGCAGTAGTATTTGCATATCCTGTAGAATTGTTCACTCGGTTTTTGAAGTTTGCTTTGGAATGCCTGTGATCTGCCAGGACTGGAAAATGCTGACCAGATTGCGTAATTCTCCAAAATGCTCTTCAGGCATAGTGTGTGAAAGATCATCTTTTCAATCAAGTAACCCACCCTAACTCACTACAAAACCTTCCAAAAGCAATAGCTGACAAACATCCACATTTAATCAAGTGATGCGCACTGATTGCATGATACAGTTGGTACTGGTAGCTTAGATTAGGCGTGACACGATACTATTTTTATCATGTATTTCTCACCGAAGTTAATAACTTTGTAATCTGGTGTTCCATTTTTATCTGTGGATAAGAAACGTAGTTAGCGTTTGTGAAAAATACACCGACAGTTCGTCTCAAGACCATTCCGTTGCTGCATTCTGATAAACGTGTAATAATAATTCATCAGTTACTGTTTGGAGACTTCCCGCAAACACCTCGATACCTTTGATACTTTGAATTAATATTACCTTCACTTGTGACAGCGTCTCGTTCGATTGCATTAGCAAGTTTAGTCCAGTCAGAAGTAGCTTTGTGCAACCGAATGGGTGAATTTTCAGCATTTACATCACAATTGTGGATTCAAATTTACAAAATCACACGTAGTGAACCTGAAAGCAGTAGATTGTTTTTTCAATGAAGCCAGCAATTGCGTAGTTCTGTGGAAAATTTCTCCTTGTTAATAAGTAGACGTGGAATATATGAAGAAACAGAATTACGATATGAAGAGGTACGTGAAAATAAAATTTTGAACATTTTGAACATGAGCGTGTGAATGATGTAGATACAGCGTTGAAAAACTCGTTGTGTAATGAGTGATGAGTGTCTGAGAGTATAATGGCAATAAAATTTCCATATGCTTGTCGTTGTCTATCTATCTTACAATCTGTCAGCATATCCCCGATGCAGCCACTTCATTTAGAGATGTGTTTCATGGATCTCGCCAGTAAATCACTGGTTAGCAATACAACCAGTGTGGTGGGGGAGGCACGCATTCATTCACAAACCTAACAATCAGCTTGTGGGGAACAGAAAGTAATCTCAATCGGAGTGAGAAATGTGAAAGCTTCTATTTTCACAGAATGTTTTTTGAACATGCCGCATATATGCCACATATCACATATTATTTATTATCAAATAGTCCACGAAGACCATCAGGTCAAATTTGTCGTGGTTAATCGCATCTAACCCACTTACAATGGACTTCAATGGACTGGCTCTGAAAGAGCTGTCTACCCAATGATCACTCGGTGTTACAAACAAGGTTTTTGTGACGAAAATACACCACTCTTGGGCACAAGTACATGAATGAACTGACAAAAGATTACCGGATACGCATGCGTGACGGGCGGGAAGAATCGCGAAACCGTGCTTCCTGGGAAATTTTGTCCAGTCATTCACATACTACTTATTGTCAAATATATATATAACCGGCTCGTAGGGACCATGATGCCAACGCCACAATAATAATAACAGTAACAGTAACAGGGGATAGGTGGATTGGGATACAGAACAAAGTGGAAAGCGGGTGAAACAGTTAAAGTGCGATACCAAGGTATTTTACCATCCTGTCCTGTTTTACGCAAAACAATTTTCCCCGAGTGTAAAACAGAGCAAAGCTAAATGTACCATTCATTTCAGTTGGTGGTTCACTCCCCTCTCTCAAGCGAGCGATCGCGCTTTCCCATAACCATCTGAGAAGCTCCACAGAAAATTATCGCGTTGTGCGCTACTCTTGTGTTTGTGTGCTTGTGTGTGTATGTGTGTGTGGCGTTTGTGCATCTACTCATCATCCCTGTAATCTTATCCTTCTTGAATTCTGTTTTTACTCCGGCACTGATTTAAACACTTCACTATTCCCTTTACTCCTTCATCCATATGTGAAGTCCTGAAACAGCAACCAAAACCGGCACTGGAAAGAGCTTGGTAAATGGTAGTGAAAACTGAAAACGGTTTTCGTGTTAAGTCCTCATTTGGCACGGGGCTTGTTCAAAGCATTTCCTGTNCCGCTCTACGGCGGAAGATGCGCAACGGAACTCCTAATCATGAGACAGTTCGTCACGCTCTGGATCAACAAGCACATCGTCCGCATCCCCGCTTTCCACATCCTTATGATCCTTCTTTTATTTGCGGTTGACCACTGGTGTCGTCTCCCTCCCCTAGGAGACGGACAGAGTAGACCAGGTATATAATAAGTGATAACAATAATCCCCCTAGAACATCATTTCTGTAAGATAGCCATGCGTTTCCTTCTCCCCTACCTTCAGCTGGTTCAGGTACAATGTGAAGAATATACACTCACGTCCAATGCTTTTCGCAACAGAAGAGAAGCGTGGCATGGTAACCAAACAGGAACTAAATGCTTCTGGACTGTTTCACTCCTAGCCTTAAACTGTTAATTCTAGGATGACATGATTAAATATTTAACTACCTAGTTGAAAGATAAAGACAAATTTCATTCCAGACTTGAACAGTAGTAAGTAGAACGCCATTTTCTCTTGCGCATTCCTCTCATGAACTAGTGACACACGCTGTTTGTGTTCTCCACACCATATTTGTGAAACCTGTCAAAACATCATGAAATCAGTTCAATTTTCACGTTTAATAATAATTGCAACGTTGAATACCAATCAGGACAACTTTGCTTTCTTATGTTGCCACAAGACCATTCTGGCATCTTTCCCAAATGAGAGCTCCATTTGGATCAAAGCCCATTGCTGACGGAGTGCATCTATGCGAAATGGTAGCCACTTCCAAGATATTAGCAAGACTCTTGAAGAATGAACCTTTTGAGTCGAATTCGCTTTGGTCTTTCAAAATGGAAGGACCTAACACGATACTAGTATAATGAAGAAAACGTCGATCATTTTTTGGCGATTTCCAGCATATTTGACGTGTTCTTCCTTTCCGTATATTTGTTGTCTCGATCCAACTCATTTAGCTGTTTGATGCAGACACACCGGCCTTACACATTAGTAAAAAACATACAAACATTGAGCGCTGTTGTCCACTATTCGCTGTCTACGTAGCCTGTCCCCGTGGGATAAGCGAATGACCGAACTGTTCAAGTTAACGAAAAACTACATGGATAGTTACTGTCGCGCACTGTTGCAACTCCTCAACGTCTTCACATTGTGATAGTCGACGCATGTACTGAGCATATCTCCCAATGGGCCTTCTGTTTTACCCGTTGATTGCCCAGACAGTTTTCGGTTGGAAACAAAACAAGAATAGTCGAAAAGTTGTTACACTTGAACGTCTGGTCTATATTCCATCGGCTGCTGCGTAGGAATTCATGAGATTTGCCTAACCCAGGGAATAGAATCTACACACTGATGCTGCGGTATCTTCACCTTTGTTCCACAATTGTTGAATATAGTTTTATGATTATTTCACAACAATCTGTGAATTTCGGTTCAGCTACGTCAGGTATTTACTCAATTGCTTGTTTGAGTGAGTTTTTCAAGACTTACATAAAACACGCTTAAACCTAATGAAACTCAAACCTCTTGGATTGGTTTACAACACTAGATAGGCAACCGGAACAAAACAAAAACCCATTTATCGTTGTTGTTGTTGTTGTTGTTCTTTGTTGAGTCTGGTTTTTATTCTCCACTGTCTTTACTAAGCTGCATTCCTAGTCAAGGTCACATACACAAATTTAAGTATCATCAATTACCGCGCTCTACCGTTGACTATTATCTATCGATTACCCGGGCACTTAACGAATAAAGTTATTAGAGCTGAAATCCATACAAAGATTAAAAAACGAATTTAATTATTTGTGATTCTTATCCTTATCATTCAGTGGTCCGCATGTCTCGAACTAAGAAGGATTATACGAAAGCTCGTCTGTAACTCCTTTAGTTCATCCAAGTGAATCACAGTGAGCAAAACAATTCCACAACACTTTTTCGATAGATCCCACTATTTTCTTCCAACTGCAGTTTCATTCATTTATCTTATTCTTCATAAACTNTAAATTTTTTCGTTTTCCTAACTGCGCGGATGTTGACACACAAAGCAACGGGGTCTGCCAAATAAGACTGACTGACAAAATTACATAATTGGTTCTCGTGTGAACTGTACTGATGGGAACTGCGCTAAAACCACTTGTGTCTACCAATCTGCATCGTAAATTCGAAATATTTCAAAGATATTGAAAACAAACTGCTGTGTACAGAGAAATGGGAAGAGTGCAGACAGGGTGACAAGAAATTAGATCGCGTTGTACTTACGGTGTCATTAATTTGAACAATTCTCGTGAAAAGGTTGTACATTCCATCTAACGAGCCTCGGTCAGTTTCTTGGAAGCCACAATGAGCAATGTCCACAGAGGAGTTTTAATCCAATGCACACAAACACGTGTCTCGCTCATCGAACTCCGTGAGTGTCATGCCACCCCCCCCCCNCCCCCCCTCCCGATTAATGTGTAATGATTAATGCATAACAATATATTTTGTATCCTGACCTTTCATTCGATGTTTTACTTTATAACTCGTGCAAGTCAGGAAAGGAACTTATGTGTTCAAATATAAGTCCTTTTCAGCCGAAATCTCTGAATTGATATACTAAGTATGGTTGGGCAGGTACAAGACTTTTTTCCGTATGTTATTTGACAAATCGGATTTATCTGGCCATACCAACTCCCTCCACTCCCCTGAATTTTTTTGATTAATTATAGTAAACAAAAAAGATGACAGAATCATTTTGATTTATGCACATTGTTAAAAGCGGAAGAAAAATCCCCTCACTCGCTCTCTCTCTCCCTCCCTCACTGACTCGCTGTTTGCATTGTAGGAAAAAATCAAATTACTTGAACTGCAAAACATTTACAGCCTTCGGATTCCCAAACACATACCGGCACACCTTCCACCGGCCGAGTCCAATCGAACTCAGACACCGGATTTACCTGATAGAAGAGAATCTGCATCAAGCAAAACGTCCACAGCACTGCCACGAGTCACGGAATCCACTACGCAAAAAGTCTCAGTCAATTTGGGACGTTCTCTTGGCCGTAGAGTACCACTGTCTGAAATGAGCTCTCAAGAAACGACTGAGACAAACGGTTTGTTGGCACCTCGGTCGACCAATCCCGGATCGGAACTGCTCTACTCACTGCTCATCGATCCGTCCACATGCGAGTCCACTGCCGAATTGCCATCTGGGCTTTCGCGGACCCGATCGAGTGAAGATCAAACGCGTAGCACGGTGAGTTAGTGTCCGAATCTCAACGAGAATGAAGGAGCTTATGGTGGGAAGGGATGGTTGGTTCGACGCAGATTTAACAAGCTCGTTGTGAAACCAATGATTGTCATTGCGCAAGATTCTATTGGAAATTCTTTCACATGCATCGATGAGCTTGCACACGATGAAATCGACCGGGACGTTTCTGATTATACCACAGCATCGGAAAAGGGATATGATGATTCTGGAAAGTAACAAATTCTTTTTTTTTCTCAAGCCAGGAGAAGATACAGAATAACAGTGCAAAAAAAATTAAAGATAATATTTCGGAGAACCTAAAGTGTCCTGGAAGCATAAAAATAAAGTTTAGGAATTCACTTGTAAATATTTTCTACATCGCTATTCCAGTAGAAATTGTGGGATAAAGTGACACCCAGGTATTTAACGGAGTCAGATTAGGAATTGCTGTAACTCTTGAGGACGATTTCAGATAATTTGATAACGGCAATCGGATTTAAGGTTTAAGTGAACATGAACGAAATACGAACCAATAAGTATCTGAGATCGGGGGGGAGACCAACTACAAATGTCCTTCAGACTGTCTTAAAATTTGTGGATAGATGCATTGTTAATGGAGGGGCACAAATTCACCACGTCGTGCGCATTCTTTCAGAGAGTAGAGTTGGCAAATGTCGTCCGTCTGTGTATCAGAACTAAAATTGGTCGGTGCGTATGCCGATTTGATGAACAAACACCTTTTATTGTTGCTTCCTTTCCGAACGCTGATTGAACCCTAGAAACGCATTGCACATAAACTACTGTTGACGGGGATCCAATCAATGGAAGAGGACTTCGCGTTATTACTGAGTACAATACCTATCCAGCTTGAAATAATAAACGGGTTTTGTTCTCGCCTGTTTTGCGAAGGATGAAACTTGGGGACAATTCTGGCCCACCCAGGTGGCTAATAGTAGTATGATCCCGAATCCGAGTCGCCGATATGCAGAAAATATCGATCCCTAAAGATTTCATCATACAAGCTAGACAAGCTCATTCACCTAACTGCATCAGAGTCCTCATTTTGAAGGTCCCCAGATTCAGTGATTGATCAGGCTTCATTTCTCAACAGTGACCTTGAATAACGGAAGTCAGCTTAGTAGTTTTGTCGTGCTTTTAAAGTGTTGCTATTCAAGCCCTTGATCGGACATTACGGGGATTGGAGTTGTATCCAATCAGACCAGTAAAATTATTCCACACTTCGACAGTGTTATTAGCACACCAAATACTTACACTTCATTTGCATCTGTTCTCAACTAAGAATTTTATCTATAGATTGGAATAGCTCAATCCCCACTACAAATCCCATTTCATTTTTCTCATTTTAATACATAATACTGTTAAGAAGTACTACTCACACTTGTGAGTAGTATATCTGGATCGCACAAAAGAAGGGGATTGGTGGGTTCGCACTACGGTAAAAAATTTAAAAAATACTCCTAGAGGGAATAAACGTGTTCCGAATTGGAACTAAAGAAAATGCACATATGAATTCGGACCGTTCCATCATTTATCCTGCGTGCTTGTAGAAATTATGGCCTGTTTCA